AAAAGGCACCCTTATGGCTTGGTGGGTTCTATCAGGAAACCTTTCCGACGTGCACGAAGCCTGAATCCCACCCTCAACCCTAAACCCAGCCACTCTAAAACCTCAACCCCGAAACCGACGAAATGCTGGGCCCCATGCCGTTGAAGTAGGGGTTTCCGGCATAGCCGCTGCACAGGCCACCCCCGAAGTTGTAGACCATCACCTGAGACAGCTTGGCGTTCTTTCATTCTGGGGTGGGCCCTCACATACCGCTTTACCAAAACACCCGAAACCCTAAAGCCCTAAAGCCCCTATGCTCTAAACCCTATAGACCCTCAACCCAAAACCCTAAACCCCCCCTAAACCGCCAAGCGATGCCCAGCGTGCCGATTCTTGAAGGCCCAGGTCGCGGGCCGCGGCTCTGCATTTGCCACTGGGACGGGGCGCCAAAGGTTCCTTTTATCTGCGGCTTTGGGCTGCTGAGAGTTTAGGCTTCTGGGCTTGGGGCTTCGTTTCGCTCGGGTTTGCCGGTGCCTGAGGATGTTTCAGGGACTGTGGGACTCTAGGGTTTTGAGGGTCAGAGGGGGTTTAGGGCTCACAGGCTTGGGGCAGTTCAGTCTACGCTAAGGGTTGCAAACACTTCTGGACTGCTGGAACTCAAGCTTCGCGGCGTCTAGGGTGCTTGTCTTCGTCCCGCGAATAGACCCCGAACTGCGCCAAAACGATTTACTTGCAGACTCAGGAAGCTTCAATGCGCATCTTTGCTGGCAATAATTCCACAAGTACCAAATCGGCAAGGATGACCTCATACTTACAAGCTGTTGTTCACGAACGCTGAGCTGTTGATTTAAACGCTTGGGCTTCGAAGTTCGGGCCGCCCAAGCGCTCCACGATCCACGACCGACCAATGCAAGTTAAGACACCCCGCACAAAAGTCGAGCCAGGAAATGCTGCCCCTCAAACTGCCCGCTGCCCAGCAAACGAACCCTCTCCTGCTGAAACCTGTCCCAGTGCCTCCGACCCGTCACCCGCTGAGCCCCTGGCAGCTGCAGGCAGTCCTCGCTCGGATCCGGCGCATGGTCCTCCCAGATCCAATGGGGGCTTGCGCATACGCCCTAAACCCTAAACCCTCCCCCCCAAACCCTAAACCCGAAACCCTCAACCCTAAACCCTAAACCCTAAAGTTGCGGGGTGTGAAATGGAGGCAGCGAGGCCAGGCCAGGCCTGCTGCAAAACTGCCAAATTACGCAAACAAGAGCGAAGCCCCTCTTGTGTTAAATCAGCCGCGCCCCCTTATGCTTTAAGCCCATCACCCCGAATCCTCCCACCCGCACCTGACAAGGTCCAAGTGTCGAGTGCACAAAAAGGAAAAGAAGCATTCGTCAAATATCCCCCTCCCAAAACTGAGCAGTTCGACTGGCCATCCCGGGATTTGCTCGGATACTGCGGGGAGAAACGCTGTGGTGAGCACTCCAAAGAAACTCCGTCGGTGAACACTGTGGCGACCAGGATTGGGAACTCAGCGATCTGCCGCACAGACCCAGGTGAGGAGTGGAGGGACCCATCAGCCAAGAGAACAGCTTAGAATAAACAATACTCACCGGGGATGGGTAAAAGCAAGCAAAAAGCTCCAGGGATACTCTGTGGGGTTCGCCGGGTAGGTGCTGCAGGGATACTCTGCGAAATCTTCTGTGGGATTCTCCGATCATGAGCATTGCTGGCCGAGAAGAATAGATGCGGTCAACTCCAGCGAACTAAACCCAGCAATCGTCGTCCTCGTCCAGCGGCATGGACCGCGGATCCCCAAGCCTCTTCTTCGTCGGGGGGGTTTGGGGGGTTATGAGGGTTTAGGGTTTAGGGTTTCGGGTTTCGGGTTTAGGGTTTCGGGTTTCGGGTTTAGGGTTTAGGGTTTAGGGTTTAGGGCTTGGGGCTTAGGGCTTAGGGCTTAAGGTCCAAGGTTTCTGCTCTGCTCTGTGCGGCATGTCAGGTCCGAGGTTGAGGCTTTAGGGTTCAGCTTTGGAAGATCTTGTGGGTGGAGCACTTGGCTTCCACGGAGGTACTGGTGCGTTCCTCCTTTCCTCGTAGCCTCTTTCGGAGTGGTCGAAGCACATGGTTCAAATCCGCACAAGATAAGACATTTACAGCTCATTAAACGAAACAACGCCACAAAGTTGTTCTACTACTTCTGGCTCGTCATCTTTCATGAACTAGTAAGCAAAGGCAACCCTCGAACAGACCAAGCGAAAAAAAAACTAAAAGCGAATGTACTTTCTTCCCACTCCGTGTTCAACGACTTGGTGTTTGTATTTGTTTAGTGTAGCTGCACGTTGTTCCTTTTGCCCTGGGCTCGTCGACCAGGTAATCAATACAAACCCCAAATGACCAACGGAAATCATGCACGAATAAGCAAGAATGGGGCGACAAACTACTGAATCCCTGTCTACGCTTTCGCTGTTTAGTTCGTGCGTCAAGTCTCTTCCCGAGGGGTCTGAACGACAACAAGCAAACATGCAAACCACCAACACAACAGCGTTCGCTTCGTTGGCTTCCCCTTCGCCTCACAAAAATTCGCCTCGGCTCCCAGCCGAGGCAGGATCGGTCTCCTTCCCCTCTGCCCGCCCAAACCGCATACAGGAGCCGACATCCCATGCCACGAAGGCTCCACGCTGTGGACCTATCTCTTCCTCTTCTTCTCCTTCTCCTTCTCCTTCTCCTTCTTCTTCTTCTTCTTCAAGGCTTGGGGGGCCCCAGAGGCCCCTCGCGCGAGCGCTCCCCCAGTTCCGGTGCCGTTGTGAGACCACTTCCCAAAACATCCGGCGTGGTTGCTTCCCCCTATCCCGCGTTAGAGTTCCAGGTCGGTGGCCGAGCGGCGGATTGTTGATGCAGGGCGCTCCCAAGCGGCGGGCCTGAGCCAAGGAGAGATCTTGTGGAATCTTCATCTGACTTGGGGTTTAGGGTTTAGGGTTTTCAGGGTTCAGGGTTCAGGGTTTAGGTTTAGGGTCTTAGAGTTTAGGGTTTAGGGTTTAGGGTGTGGGTTTAGGGTTTCAGCGTCTTCAGCTCGTGAACCCGAAACATGGTGCCAAGGAGCATCCAACCAGCCCTGCGGCCAGGGGCTGTCGCTGAGCTCCGCTGCGGCAAAGCGCCGCGCGCCCACGGGCGGAAGCGCGTAGGGGATGCCGGCGTAGCGCTCCTGCGAGAGGTTATAGCGTTTGCCGTTGGAATGGGTGGTTCGTTTGTTGGGCTGGACTCGCCAACTTTCGGTGTTTGAAGTTTAGGGAAAGGGTTTGAGGCTCAGGAAGTCAGCTTCTTTCGTTTTAGGAGGCTTGGCCTTGGCAGGTTCTCTCTCTCCCTCCCTCTCTTCCGCTCTCTACTGCTCTCTCTCTCTCTCTCTCTCTCTGTCTCTCTCTGTCTCTCGCTCTCTCTCTCTCCCCTCTCTCTCTCTCCCCGATCTCTCTTGCTTGCTTGCAGCGCGCTTAACCTCTCGAGAGGGGTCGCCCCAAGGGGATCTCTCTCTCTCTCTCTCTATCTCTCTCTCTGTCTCCCCACTCTTTCTCTGTCTCTCTCGCTCTCGCTCTGCCTCTCGCTCTCGCTCTCGCTGTCGCTCTCTCTCTTCTTCTGAACGGCGAAGAGGCCCCCCGCATGGGAAGGCCCCGGCCACACTGGCCCGCCTCTCTCTCTCTCTCTCTCTCTCTCGCTGTCTCTCCTCTATAGGGCTAGTCCCTAATGCAAGGTTCAGGGAGTTCAGGGTAACGTCCCAAGACCGCCGAGGCACCACGCCAACCGCCGCCACAGTGCCCTCAGCCGTGCCCAGAGGCGTCACCACGGTGGGTCCGGTGGGGCCAGCACCGGCCAAGGACCTCGGGCGGAGAGGGTGTTTAAAAAAATCCTCTTTGCACAAACCCTTTGGGTTTGTTTATAAAACCCTCTTTGAGGCCATGAGCAACTTGTGAGAGGTGAGGCTGGACGCAGCTTTGGATGTCGGCTCTTTCACTTGTTCGGGCTTTTGAGTCTGCGTTCCCGAGTGTAAAGAACGCTCGCCGCTCAGAGCCGCCAAACTGGTGGAGGCAACGTATCTCTTGTGAATGTGACAGGGCTTGATGGTGAGTCATAAGCTTTTATGCATACATAAGCTTACAGCACAAAGCGTGCTTACGCCTAGAGCGCGCTTGTGTGCAACTACCGAATGCTTGGGCTTCCGCAGGAAGCCGAGCGCCGCCAGAGCTCGACATTGCGCAACACGAAGCATGCTGAGAACGACTGAAAGCTAACACTCGTGCAGAGCTCGAAATCACCATCGAACCGGTCTCATGAGTAGGCATCGGCTATGGCATCCGAGCCTGTTGACAACGTTGATGTACAGGACTTGCTATGTACAGCTCAAGGTGTGAAGCTTTGAAGCACGAAGGAAGGGAAGGCGACTGGTCCCACAAGCAACTCCCTGGTCACTCCGGGCCCCCCGAACCACCTAAAACCCTAGAGCTGCAGCTCCCTGCCCGAAGGCTTGGGATTGGGACTGCAAGACAAAAGGTTGATAAGTTGGAGTTGGGGCTCTAGACACAACGTGCACATGTGGCGAGGTGACTGGCTTGGGTGGGCACTGACCTGAGCTGCAAGTACCCATCTACTCTTTTAGGCTCTTCTGCTCTTTGGCTCTTTGGCTCTGGGCTCTGGGCCCTTTGCCATCCCCGCAGCACCAAGAAAACGGCCCCAAGACACAAAGAGAAAGACAAAAGGAAAGGAGCATTGTTTGGGGTGTCGACCTTAGGGTCTGAGATGGCCACCGAAGAAGAACCCGAAGCATGTCCCCCGGCCCTACTCTGAACCTCAACCTCCGAACTCCACAGCACTTCGCCACTGCGCAAAAGCAAGATCTAGCCTGAAGCAAAGAGAGCCTCAGTCCCCTCTGCCCAACACCCGTCTTCGGGCTTGGGAGCGAACAGCACTTCAGGGCCACGGGCTGGAGCTTTGGGGCGAACAACCACCCTCTCAACCCTAAACCCTAAACCCTAAACCCGCAGAGCCTCGCCGAGCAGAGTCTCCAGCTTGTCCCGGCCCTCCCGATCACGGTCTGGCTCCCGGCGGCTCTGCAGCCAGACCAGGTAGCCTGGCAGTCGGTCAGTGCTTGTGGCCGCTTGTGCTCGCAACTCAAGGGTTTAGGGTTTAGGGTTTAGGGTTTGGGGTTTGGGGTTTAGGGTTTAGGGTTTAGGGTTTAGGGTTTAGGGTTTAGGGTTTAGGGTTTAGGTAGGGTTTAGGGTTTAGGGTTAGAACCATCATAACAATGTTCATACCTGAAGCCCACGGTGCAAATCCACGCCGCCAATTCTGAGGCGCAGGTTCCCGACGCGGAGAGGAGACCCGAAACCTTGAAGCTAAAGACCTAAAGCCAGCACGGGCCGGGCCTTCCATGGCCCGTGCATGCACCTAGGCTGCTCTTGAAGTCGGATAGCGGATCATGAAGCGAGCCAGAGTCCAGAGATGTAAACCTTTTTCTAGGACTGTCTCCGGTCTCGAGAGCTTAGAGCAACCCAAACACCTTCCACCCTCCAGCCCCCAGCTTTAAACCGTAAGCCCTAAACCCTAAACTTACAGCCTAAACCCTAAACCCTAAACCCTAAACCCTCCCAAAAGCGAAGCAAGATGATCTCCCCAGTGCGGCCCCCGTCACGTTGTGCATGGCGAGGCCGTAGCACTGGGCTTCGGGGAAGCCCCTCGCCTGACCCGGGCCCTACTCAGAATTGGCTGCCTGGGTGGGAGTCAGGCCCCAGCACCCCAAACAACCCAGACAAGTCTCAACGCTTGGTGCATGAGGCTTAGGACTTTACTGGGCTCAGGGATATAAAGACAGGATCTCGGGTTTGGGCTTTCGGGTTTAGGCTGCATGGTCTGCGGTTCCTGGGGTTTCGATGATTTTCGGACCGGTTGCTCAATGCCATGCGGCGGGCTTGCCGAAGCTGACCACTTAGGACTCCAAAACTTCAACATGCCTCAAACCCAAAATGTCTAAACCCCAAAGCCTAAACCCTAAACCCTAAACCCTAAACGCCAGAAAACTTAAACTCTCGATGGTTATTTACAGGCTGAGGGAATCCTGATCTCCAAGCCTGCAAGCAGAGCGCCTCGCACTCCACCTGGCCATGACACAGGGCTCTGTGGAAGTGGGGTTTAGGGTTTAGGGTTTAGGGTTTAGGGTTTAGGGTTTAGGGTTTAGGGTTTAGGGTTTAGGGTTTAGGGTTTAGGGTTTGGGGTTTAGGGTTTAGGGTTTAGGGTTTGGGGGGGCGCTGGTGGGTCTGGGATGTTCTGGTTGTCGGGGGCCTATGCCGATGTCTTTCAAGCTCCCCTCAAAGCTAACATGCTCAGTGGTCTGGTTGCTTCGTATTCAGCTGATACAACGATTCAGGTCTCGTCCGCACATAAGCCCATCGCTTTTGCAACAACGAAGCTCTCTCACTGCGTATAAAAACCTACACAACGATTCAGGTTGAACCGAGCTAGCGCACCTGGCCCAACAGCTGTGGCTAGGGTCATTGCACTGATTCCAGGCACAGATTAAAATCCACATCTACCCCCAACCTCTGTCGGCTTTAAAAGACCCTCAGCCCCACAGTAGTCTCGGGGATGCATCGGCGCATGAAGCCCAAGCCCATGAACTCCAAGCCCTTCATCCATAAACCCATAGAAACATCAAAAAACCCTCATCTCCCTGAAGATTAACCTTCGGACCCTTCAATGTTGGCGCATGGAGGCCTGGTGCCACAAACGGCGATATTGCGCTGCGTGATGCGCTTGGAGGTGGAACTGCGCCTCTTCATGGACTTGTCTGACAATTTCTGTTTAGCGTTCAGGGTTTAGGGTTTAGGGCTTAGGGTTAGGCTGTGCATGCAGACTTAAATTTTCTGGGCATGCACGGACACTTGTGATCTTCTGCCTTGTCGGCCGAGGTGCAGCCGGGCCCCGACACAAACTCCCCCCCAATTCGTAACAAGCCCCAACAAAGAGCCTGCTCTTGGCCAAGCCCCCGGTGACGAGAGGCAAGCACCTGGGCATGGACAGAGGGTGAAGGCACGGGCTCAGTGAAGTTCAAGGGGTCTGAATTCTGGGTAGTGCTGATTTATCGTTGCAGTGAACAAACAAGTAGTCCGGCCTAGCCCCTCCTAACCGATGTCGAGGAGCCAGTAATGTCCTACAAAGCCTGGTGAAAGCTGACTCAATTCTGGGACAGATGAATGGACCAGCTAGTTTCCATACCCTGCAGTTTGGAATTCAGCCGCGCAACAGTACTTTCGAGGCGACAGACTTTAGCGGCTCGAGCTTTAGGCAAGCTTCGTGGGAATGGTGCATTGACCTACGGAAAGAAAGGTAGGGAAGGTGTAGCTTTTCAAAACTGACCCACGTTTTCTTCAGCCTTCAGATAACAGGCCGAGCAGAATGTAAGCACACTCTCGCAAATCACACCGCAGATGGGCCTGAAGCAAATTGAGTTCAAACTGCATCCCTGCACTTTGGCCTGCCCTTTCCCAGTCAATCTTTTTGAGGGTTGCAGTGTACTCCCGCGTCTTTGGCTGGGTAGTTTGCCCTTGTGCCACTGCACCTTCAACTTGTAAAATGCAGCTGCCTCGCCCCTAGAGAAAGCCCTCTCAAGCCATGGCCTTGCAAGAATCTCAACATGGTCACCAAACGGATTCTGACACTGCCTGCAGTTGCTTTCACAATGGTTGTTGTTCCTGGCTCCTTGGGGCGTAGGCCTAGGAGCCAGTTGCTACGAGCTTTGCAGGCGTAAAGGCTTCGCCAGACACTGCCACCTAAACCCTAAACCCTAAACCCTAAACCCTCAACCCTAAACCCAACGACAAAGCTCGGGTTTAGACCTCCAGCATCACCGTAGCCGTGGGCATGGACCCCTGCGAGGCGTGAGAAACCGCCCTCGGACCTACTGGGGAGTTTCTAAACTTCGAGCTTCGGGGGGTTTAGAGGATTAGAGGTTTCGGAGCGCCGGGGTCTCAAGCTGAAGGACTCTGGAGTTCGGGCAAGATAGGACGGGTTTCGGGGATGGGCACGTGGGGGATTCTATCAAAGCCCGAAGCCTCAACCATCCCAGAACTACAGAGTCTACACGAGCTTAGAGGTTTCGGAGCGCCGGGGTTTCAAGCTGAAGGACTCTGGAGTTCGGGCAAGATAGGACGGGTTTCGGGGATGGGCACGTGGGGGATTCTATCAAAGCCCGAAGCCTCAACCATCCCAGAACTACAGAGTCTACACGAGCTTCTAGAAGCCTGGCAGACTTGATCCCCTAAGGCCGCGGCCTGGAACCTCCGAAACCACATGAAAAACGCCAGAACCCGAAATCCCGCGACTCTTAAACAAAGAGACCGTACAGGAAACATCTCTCAAAAAATCCTAACCCTAAACCCTCAACCCTCAACCCTAAACCCTAAACCCTAAACCCTAAACCCTAGCTGGGGCCTTCTGGGGAAGAGATACATCTTTCCCCGGGGCCACTCCGCCGAATCGCTGCGGAACCTTTGAAGCATTTACTGCTCTCAAGGCTTGGGTTCGGTTTAGGGTATAGGGTTTAGGGTTTAGGGTTTAGGGTTTAGGGTTTGGGGTTTAGGGTTTAGGGTTTAGGGTTTAAGCCCTAAAGGGCTTAGGGCTTAGGGCTTAGGGCTTAGGGCTTAGGGCTTAGGGCTTAGGGCTTAGGGCTTAGGGCTTCTGACTTCTTAAGCCTCCATTAAGTTCGGCATCGCTTCAGAGCAGAGCACTTCTTAGGGGGCTTAAGGGTGAGGATTTCAGGTGATCTCTGCTGACTTTTGGGAGGGGTTCCAAAGGGTCGGGCTTGAGATGTTCTCTGGGCTTGGGAAACAGGGTTTCGTGTCTTTTGCTTAGAAAGCTCTGAACGTTAGACAGGCGCCAAACTAAGCTAGGTGAACTTTGGAACAGCCCAAAAGGAGGTCTTTCCTACAGGGCCAATGAGCCAAAAAACGTATTTCTCAGTAGTGTACTGGTAGCTAGGGGCAAGCTGTCAAAAAAGGCCTTGCCGAGTCGAGCTACTAGGCACCAAACAACCCCTCACTCGATGACCCTTAAACTCTGAAACCCCAAACCCTCCTTAACTCTGAACTGTAAGCCCTGAGCCCAACCGCAACAACGAACAAAGGAGAAAAGCAAACTCTTTAAGCCCCCTTAGACCCTTGATCCTGATGGTTTGGGGGCCTGTGGGTTTCTGGCGTGGGTGTTGGGGTTTAGGCTTCATACTGTTGCGATGCATATATGCAGTGGACGCCTTTCTTAAAGCCTGAACCCGAAACCACCTTCAACCCAAACCACCACCAGCCCTAAAGCCTGAAATTCCACGTGACTTCAAAAGTGTTTAGGATTTAGGGTTTAGGGTTTAGGGTTTAGGGTTTAGGAGCCTGCATCAGGATGCTGACCGTGAAGACAGGGACACGGCCACGAGACCTGGGAATAGAAGGAGCTTCCAGGTCAAGTTCAGGGAGACGTTACTGTAGAGTCTTGGGGTTTTATGCTTTGGGATTAGTCCATAGCCACCTGCCCCAAACAGGACTCGTCTAGCTACCCCGGGCAAGCACCGGGCAGCGGGGACTGCTAGGACTGCCACGTGTTTATCGCAAGGACGCGAAATGCTGCGGTGTCCATGTAGTTGCAGCGATGCTTTCAAAAACGTCAAACTAGAAAAAAGTAATTTATCTTCTTACAAGAAAATTTGAACTGAAACTTGTGAGACCGAAAACACGAGTGCAAGTACAGGAAATACAGAGTCTTCAGTTCAGAGCTATGGCTCAGGGCCTGCGCTTTAGAAGCTCAGGGTTTTCAGGGTCCAGGGCCCGGGATTCGGGGCTTTAGAGTTGAGGGTTTGCAAGGGGGTTGGTGAAGAATTCAACAATCGCGTGACTGGAATCCCCAACGATGGCCTAGCTGCATAGGAGAACAAAAACTAGGTGTATGGGACATGGTCAGTAGTGTTCTGCATTAGGACCTGTGTATTGAACCACCTGTGATCTTAGCTAGGTATAATCCCCCCCCCCCCTAATATTCAACCCCCCCTACCCCCTAATATTAAAACCCCCCCTATACTATAATACAACTATAATGGGGGGCATTTAATATTAGAGGGTAGGGGGAGGTTTAATATAAGGGGGAGGGGATGAACGGTGGAACCCCAAAGCTTGAGCTTGGATATCGACAAAAGAAACTGGGCAAGGCCAGATCTGAAAAGAAGGGGCCGAAACAAACCCCCACAAAACCCAAAACCCGAAACCCTAAACCCTAAACACTAAACCCTAAACCCGAAACCCGAAACCCGAAACCCACAAAGCTCAGGGCCGGACTCCTCCCCGGTGGCGTCGCTCGGGGCCATGGATCCTGTTGGCGTCTCCTCTGCCAGGGTTGAGGGCTACAGAGCTTCAAGGCTTCATTCAAGGCGGCAATTGAAGGGTTTAGGGTGTAGGGTTTAGGGTTTAGCCTCTACCTTGCCAATGAAAATGCCAAGTGCCTTGCAAATGCTTTCCACACGCAAGCCTGCAAAACAGCTCCACGTCTGTCGCTTCTTTCCTGGTGTTGCTGCTTCCCCCGCCCGTCTGCTCCCACAAGACTACGACGACTGGTGCCCTGCTGCTGTGCCTTCCGCAAAACTGCCACTTGCATCTGTCTCAAAAGCTCCATAGCACCCTTGCATTGGCAGCCCTGAACCCCGAACCCTTATAAATTATAACCTGAAAAGGCGGGCAAGGGCCTGCGCCGGCGGTCGCAATGGGCCCTGCAACTCATTGCTTACCCCATTGAAGTTGGGAGGTTAAGGCTTGCACTGTTTTCTTATCGCACCTATAGCTCATGAGTCTGACTTATAATATACTGGGGAAGGTCTGGGGGCTCTATGAGAATTGATTCTTGATGGCGTTGTAAGGATGATATAAGGTTAATATGGGATAGTGGTAATAGAAATCCTACCCCTGTATAGACAACCTGGCAAACAAAGCATGGCGCGACGTGCAGACAAGGCTGCAGGTCCCGTCCAGCAAGCTGAGTTCACGATACGAGCCATTACGAACCCATCTGATTCCCCAAAATGAGTGCGCAGACCTCTCACACCGGATACCCGAACAGGAAGATGATGAAATCCTC